TTATTTGTCCAAAAAACACATGATCTGAAAATTTTTAAAAATTACCTGTTTTTAGAGTAACTTTACTTTGCAAATGGAAAAAAAAAAACAATTCAGAAACAAAATCTAAAAAAAGACAAATTTAAAAAACAATTAAACAGATCAAAAAAATATCAAATGTTTAAAAATTCTAAGAACAGCATAGTTACTCTCTGCTCCTTTTTTTGGGATTAAAAATTTTCCTAAAGTTTCATTTTTAAATAAATTTTACTTTTTTCTGATTTTCAATTTACCAAACTTTGCCGTCTTTTCAAATTTTAATTTACAAAATATGCTTTTGCTCTTTGCTCGCAAAAATAATGTAACAAAAATAGGACTAAAATTATTAATTGGATTAATCCTGATGAATCAATTATTGAAATAATGGTCAATTAATTTAGTAATTGGTTAATTGTTAACTTAAGTACAGAACCAAAGCCTTTAACTGAAAGAGGTACCCACTAAAAGCAGTTATTATACCAAAATTGTAAAAATAATAAAGATTTTCCAAGTCAAGATGAAAAACCTTATTTGTCCATCCATATCATTTTATTTGCAGCCCTAGAACAAAATTCACTTCATACAATTTGAGTGGTGAGCAGTTAGTTGGAAACTCAAAAATCTGATCTTTCTCTAATCAGTGAACGCACCATAACAACCATCATTAGTGTGGACGCCACTACTGAATGTAGAGGAGTAAAATTAAGCTATTTTAAAATATAAATGTGGTGTTAAAGCCATTTAAAGGTCGACTATTCAATTCAATTCAGTTTATTTATGAAGCACTAATTCACAACACGTCATCTCAAAGCACTTTACAGTTCAACCAGATCATACAGTCAAATTGATTCAATTAATTACTAATTAATTACTAAACTAATTGGACATATTGAAATATATCTACAGCTTAGTCAGGCTGGAAGAGATCCAGACTTTGAGCGGATAACAGGAAGGCTACATAGCAAAACTTTACTGAATAATTGATATTTACAATAATTGAACATAATTTCCGATAAACAGAGATATAAAATATCACTAACAAACATGATGTCACACTAGTTTAAACTTGGTTACCATAAGCTTGATGCTAACTACAATGTAGCTTTCTGTTTTTAGTGTAAGCTAGTATTCAGTGCTGGGAAAGCCTTTGCACCTTAAAACGTGTTTCCTGGATGTTCTAAGAAGAAAAAAACTCCTTTTACCCTAACTTTCGGACTATTAGCCTTACCTGAATATAAGCCGCAGAAGCTAAATTGCGTGATTTGTACATATACAAGCCGCACTGGCCAATAAGCCGCAGGTTTTTTATGTTTAATTACCATATGGTTCGTGCACAGAGAGGATTGTCGGGAAAGAGGCAACTGTTTGGGGAAGCTCCTATTTATTATTTCTACCGGTACGTTTGTTTTCCATAATGAGGGTGTCACACAAACTGTCTTGCGCTCGCAATGTCCGTCTTTTTCGCCGTCGTTCTGTCTCGTACCACTCGCGGTAGAAGTCTGCTTCCGGAGGACGTTAGCATTCCCGTGTGCGCGGCTACTGTACTTGTGTTTTGAAGCAAATGTGACGTCAACATGGTGGATGGTAAAATCCATAGATTTAGGTATTACCCCAGTGGCCGTTAGCTGTAAAAGTCCATAGATAAGCCGCATTGTTATATTAGCCTCGTGAGACCATCCTGATCTCGCGAGCTTTCAAGGTTTCACTCGCAGATCAGTCTGGAGACTCTCCGTTAAAGAAAATTTGGAGCCGTTCACCAAACGAACGTCCAATCAGCGTTGGCTTTGAGGCGGATTGAGGTGTGACGCAACGAGAAGCATGACAGTTCAGTCTAAAGAACATGGCGGCTTTAGCCGATGAAACTAGCGTTAGCGTTGCTATCGAGCAGATTTTATCGGAATTACAGAGTATTTCTTCACTGAAAGAAGAGCAAAACACTGCCCTGGAGGCTTTTCTCAGAGGAAAAGATGTTTTTGCTCTTCTCCCGACTGGTTTCGGCAAGAGTTTGATCTATCAATTGGCTCCTCTTCGTCGTCGCTCTGTTAGTACGTCATATGCTACGTTGATCTGATTGGTTTATTTGGCCCGTCTATCACCAACATAGGCCAATCGGCTAACCAGTATTTTCGCCCCTTCCCAAAATTACTTCAACGGAAGGTTTCCAGATGGATATGCAGAGCAAATCCATCTGGCGGAGTCAGGTTATTGTTATATAAGCCGCAAGGTCGAAAAACAGGGAAAAAGTCACGGCTTATAGTCCGAAAATTACAGTAAGTGAACTTCATCAATTCATCGGAGGGAACAAGAAAACCTGTAGAACCAAAGTTGAGGCAGAATTGGCTAAACATCGGACAGACTTCTTAGTAAATGGGAATTCATCTCAGGAAATCTATCAGGAGAAGCTCTAGCTCTGGTTTCTCTTAATCTATCTGCAGTGGAAACATGCAAGTGGAGGGAGGTGAGTTTTCTCCAGAGCCGTTCACCTGCCTGGAAACAGCCCAAACAGGAGGACTGAATAAAACTCCTAAAAGCCCCTGATAGAGAGGCGGGGTGGGCTTCACCTGCCCCTTCCTCCAAGAACTGGGCTGCAGCTGATGGAAAGTTCTGACTGAATCCTGTTAAGTGGTGGTTTTGCACACACCCCGTCATTTTTACTGCACCCTGACTATAAAAAGATGTTTTATAAAAAGCAAATCCAAAGAGCTGCCAGAGGAATGTGAGAGGAGTCTAAATTCAGCTTGCTGGTTTGATAAGCATTAAATTCATTCCTAAAGTTTGCTGAAGATCTGCAGAAACCAAAGTCTTTCAGGACCTTCTTAACATGTGTCCAATCTCACATTTCCTCGCTTCACATGGCCTTCACGCTGCATGGTGCTCGTGCTTACGCCACGGTCTCTGTGGCAGGGGGCACGGGGACTGGGGGGATCCTCAGCAGATTTGACCTACTTTCTACTTCTCTCTTTGTTCCCTCCTCGGCGGAGGAGGAGGCGGCAGCGGCAGCACGTGGAACAAAGAACACAAACGGATCCTTAACAAGCTGCCCCTGCCTGGATACAGCCACCATGTAAAACCGTTTGCCAAGGCGGCGCTGCGCGGACTCCCGCCGTGTTCAGACCAACCACTTTTCTCTGCTTTGATCCCTGCAAAAAGCGTCCAACTAACCAAGTCTTATAATCTTTAGTTAGCAAAAAATATCTTGTTTTAAGAGCGATATACTAAGTACACTGCAAAAAAAATGGAAATCTAACTGATTTTTTCTTAAAGTAAGTGCATTTTCCTCTAATTGAGGACAAAAGTGAGACACTTTGCCAATGGAACAAGACAATTTACATTTAAAATAAGAAAAAAACAATTGCATTGTCTTATTTGAAGTTCATATCATCTAATTTTCTTATTTTAAGAGTAAAGATACTAATTTCATTGGCAAATCATCGTATTTATCTAAGGGTGAATACACTTAATTTAAGAAATTTTTACTTACCGTATTTCTAGATCGTTTTTGCAGTGTAAGAGCAGATTCTGTCAGATTATTAATCTTTTTAGAAGATTCTACTCAAAATAAATAAATGAATATTAGAAAAAAATAAAAACCAACACTGCTTGCTCCTGTCTTTCAGCTAAACTGGTTAAAATGAAGCTACAATGCAAAAAAATTCAATCTCAATAAGTCATTTTTTTCTTAAAACAATGTCAGTGAGACACTTTGCCAATGGAACAAGACAATTTACGTCTAAAATAAGAAAAAAACAATTATATTGTCTTATTCCAGGTGCATATTATCCAATTATCTTATTTTAAGAGTAAAAATACTAATTCCATTGGCAAATCATCTTGTTTACCTGCTCAAATTAAGGGTAAATACACAATTTAAGAAATTTTTACTAATTTTTGGATAGTTTTGGAAGTGTAACTGGTGGTTATATTACAACAGTCCAGCGTTTTGGACTGTTTTGTGTTTTGGGTGAGTTTAGCAGCTTTATATGAAAGCAGAAATCTTTCTGTTGTTATGCTACGTTCACAAGCAGCAAAAACGTGCATGTTGCTTCATTTTTGATGCTTGTTCAAGTTTAGTTCTGACGCGCGGCTGAAGCATCTTTGTTGCTCTAGTTGCCCGGTGAAAACATGGATCTGATGCGCGATGGGCGGAGCTACTCTATCCTTTCTTTGCCTGTAACAATGGCAGCTACATCTGCTGTCATCAGACAATCTCTTAACCTGACTCCGCCAGATGGATTTGCTCCACATATCCATCTGGAAACCTTCAGTTGAAGTAATTTTGGGAAGGGGCGAAAATACTGGATAGCTGATTGGCCTATGTTGGTGATAGACAGGCCAAATAAACCAATCAGATCAACGAAGCATATGACGTACTAACAGAGCGACGACGAAGAGGAGCCAATTGATAGATCAAACTCTTGCCGAAACCAGTCGGGAGAAGAGCAAAAACATATTTTCCTCTGAGAAAAGCCCCCAGAGCAGTGTTTTGCTATTCTTTCAGTGAAGAAATACTCTGTAATTCCGATAAAACTTGCTCGATAGCCACGCTAACGCTAGTTTCATCGGCTGAAGCCGCCATGTTCTTTAGACTGAACTGTCGCGCTTCTCGTTGGGTCACACCTCAACCCGCCTCAAAGCCAACGCTGATTGGACGTTCGTTTGGTGAACGGCTCCAAATTTTCTTTGACGGAGAGTCTCCAGACTGATCTACGAGTGAAACCTTGTAAGCTCGCGAGATCAGGATGGTCTCACCAGGCTATGAATTAATGGGATAATGAAGAAATGTCATTTTTGAAGGAACCACCTGGAGTTTCCACTGAAGTACGGGAACTGACTGAGGCAAGGGTTGCTAACCAAGATAGGAGAGAAGAAATAAAAGGAAGAAGGCAACAGAATGTACAAAACTCAACAAAGTCTGCTTGGATAACAGCAGAGACGGCGCTCCGCTAACGTATAAAGTCGATGCGGTTTAATCTCTTTCCTACCTGCATGTGTTCCGTTGAGCTGCTGCTGAGCTCGTCTCCAGACTCCGAGTCGTTGCGGTGCTTGACGGACCCCTCTCCTGGCACCTCGCCCGAAGCCAAGCTCTTCTCGCTATCTGGACTCTTACTGTGTCTACTTCCCACTCTGAGCGGTGGCGAATCGGCTCGTGTCCGTGGCAACGAAGAGTTGTTGCCGTGGGGGTGGTTGTTATTGTTGTGGAGGAGAACTAGTTCTGCCACCAGCTTGCAGTGGTGGGGGCTTCCTAGGTTCTGGTTGGCGTCCTTTGGGAGAACGGGCGGCGTGACGCGGTCAGAGGACGGCGAAGGGGTGGAGGAAGGTGACGGGCGGCCGAAACTGGACATTTCTGGCTGAGGCCTGTTGAGGTTCTCGTTGGATTCCCGGCAAATGTCCAAAACAGTGGGCTTGGCTCTCAGGGCTGGTTTCTGGGGGGGCATTAGTGCCCGCCGCACCTCCTTGACGTACTGCGCCGGAACATAAAAGGCTTTTGCACCTTCCTCCTTCCTAACCTGCCACCAGTCCTCATTGGTCTTCTTTACCAGCATGTAACAATCTCCCTGGCGAATGGTCACCATCTTGTCCTTAGCCTTGTACTCATAGTCATACTCCACTTCAACGTAAACCTGACCCGGGGCGATGGCGAGCCCCTCTCTGTCCGCCATGACTCCAGGAGCAAGTGCTTTAACTTTGACCCTCAGCTGCTCACCGGCCAGGCCCTAGGGGGCTTCCCATGTTTCACCAAACTCTGTGGAAGATAAGATAAAATCGTGGTTGGAGGTTACATCTGAGCTGAATAGAACAACGTATAACTTTAAAAACACAAAACTAATTGACCACATCCTCCATTGTTTCTAGAGGTGTATTTACGCCATTTTTTTTAGCATGGTTCACCTGCTGCTGGTTGCTTAAAATCCTAGTGAAATGGCCGTTCCAACGAATTCTCCCAAGTAGTGCCCAACTTTACACGAGTGAACGAAATGAATGTGATTGGTCGATTATCAAGAGGGCGGGATTGTTGTGGCAGAAGGTTCGCAAGCAAGTTTGGTTGTGGCCGGTTTGTTGGAAGCGTCTTGCTAACCAGTTAGCAACTTAGTACTAGCAGGTTCCCAATGGGAAATTCCATTGGGACCAAGTAGCACTAAATTGGTGACTTAGAAACGACGCTGTCAAGGAACGCTATGGACAGAGGAAACATGCAAGAGGAGGAGAGTTTAGTGTCGGAGGTCGTGGATGAGTCTCCTCCGTCATCCATTTTTTATTTAGAGGAGGAAAGCGGGGACGAAGATGTTGTGGAAGAGGACGCCAGAGCAGCAGAAGCTTGGTTTGGTGTAGAAGGCTTCCAGCCTTACATGTTTGAGCCCTTGCCTCGCAACGCTGCCAGTTCTGTTAGCTCTACGCCTGCCGAAGACACAGACGTCCATCCCTATGAACACTGGGACGGAACGCAATTGGAAAGGAAATGATTCTGATTTCGCATTTCAACCGTTGCGTATATTAGCTGCGACATGAATCAAGATGCTAATACCGAAAAATTTGATTGACAGATGACCGTTGATATATGATTGGCCGAATTTAGGTGTTTAAGCTGCATATAACTAACTGGCCTGCAGAAGATAATGGAAAAAAAACACAGATTTTAAGACAGGATTTCCTTTTTTTAAATAGAAAATTTTTAAATTTTGGGACAATATCAACTGATAAAGAGTACATTTATATGAATGTTAAAGCTACAGTGTGTAATTTTCAGCGACATCTAACGTCCAGACTGCAGGCCGCAGCAACATGAACATCTCCCCCCCACTGCTTCTCCCCCCCAACAGTACGGCGAGCGTTACAGGACAAAATGTCTTCCACGACGTCCGCATCACCTACCTTCTCAAGTGATGAGGTTTGTTTACATAGATAATTTTACAGATAGTATTTCATTAGTCTGTGTAGGTTATAGATTTCATGTAGACTTAAGATAATAAATATACCCGTAATGGGCGATCTCACAATCACTAGTTTGTTGGCTCTGCGCTGCCGTAGCGCAAAGATGTCTGCCTCCATGGCTGCGAGACCCGCTCCTATGTAATTATAAATAACGAATTCTAAGGCAACGCAAATATTAAGGTTAAGAGGCTGAGCTCGTAGATGATGATAAATAACATAATTATGTATAATATATTACATTTCTGACTGTATATCCCTGTAATTATTACACACTGTAGCTTTAAAGCCAAAATGATTTGACAATTAAATATAATTTCCCTATGACTTTACCATCTCACCTCTCTCACAAATAATCAACAAGGACAAAAAGATTTTTGTGAACTCGCAGGCGCGCGCTTTCAGGAAATCCTATACACTACTGTTTATGCTCTAAAAACATTCTAAATGACTTCGTTTCGAGTAAATTATGGACGCTACCCACTCAGGACACTTGGAATACATTGGACGAGCAGTATGGAGGAATATTGACAGGTTTTTTGTGGACTTTTATGGACCTTTCTGTCTCAGGCGCCATAGACCTCCATTATTTGAATGTCAGCAGACAGCAAGAAGCCTCCCAGATCTCCAGATGCATTTGAGATATCAAAAAAGTACTCCAGAGTGTTGTTCAGCATGGGGGTGAGTAGAAAATGAAGGCTAATCATGTTTTGGGTGTACTATTCCTTTAAGACAAAAGCCTGGTTTATGCTCAGAAACCAGGTTGTCTGCATGTGTCACAGTTAACACAGATATACACTCTGGTGTAGCTCCCCTAAATTGCGGGTGCCACAGACAGGAGGCCTCTGATTAGTCAGATCTATACCCGCTTATCCATCTGGAAACCTTCCGTTGAAGTAATTTTGGGGCGAAAATACTGGTTAGGTGATTGGCCTATGTTGGCGATAGACGGGCCAAATAAACCAATCAGATCAACAAAGCATATGACGTACTAACAGAGCCACGATGAAAACACAACCACAAGCCAGGCTACTCTTGCTGAAACCAGTCGGGAGAAGAGCAAAAACATCTTTTCCTCTGAGAAAAGCCTCCAGAGCAGTGTTTTGCTCTTCTTTCAGTGAAGAAATACTCTGTAATTCCGATAAAACTTGCTCGATAGCCACGTTAACGCTAGTTTCATCGGCTGAAGCCGCCATGTTCTTTAGACTGAACTGTCGCGCTTCTTTAACGGAGAGTCTCCAGACTGATTAGCTAGTGAAACCTTGAAAGCTCGCGAGATCAGGATGGTCTCACGAGGCTAAGAAACTCTGGCTGTAGTGCCATCCTTGGCACACCTCGGACACTATCCCAGACACCGTGCAGGACGCTAGTTTGTAGTCTGTTGGATTGCAACCGAAGCCAAAACACACTTCGCCACGGCCAGTCTTTCAGGAACACGGACGGGTGAACTGTGCCTCGTCCATCGTTGGATGAGAGGTTGTAGACGGCGAACAAGCTCGTCAAACCGACACACGGTAACCCACATTCCTAAGTAGTTAATGATTGTTCCTTTTGCGTTGTGGCATGGAGTAACATAGCGCAGACCAAAATTGGGCTTAAATCAAAACTATCTGCGTCATGCCTGCAACAAGCTCACTGCGGCGGTGCGGAGTATAACCAGCCCTTTAGACTTAGGCAAGTTTTATTGTCATTTTGTACATATACAGTATATACAAAAGGAGATTTGGTTTTGCACAGCCTTCAGACAGTAAATGAGCAGCAGCTTAGCGGTGAAATGAACAATAAGCTAAAGTGAATGAAAAAAAGCCCTTTGATTCAGGGTTATATCCATCTGTTGCAGCAAATAGGCCCTCAAGGAAAGTTTGACATCCTTTAATTTTTAACCTACAAGAAAATTTAACAGTAGCCTCATATCTGCCAATAGAGGGCAGCACTAAGATGATTTTAGCATAAATTTAGCAGAAAATAAACATGTTTAAATCAAAATATTATACACACACTTCAAGAAAATGAAATCTAAACAGTTGTTTTATCTTAGAATAAGTGCATTCTTTTCTTGAATTGAGGAGGTATGTGAGACACTTTGACAATGGAGCAAGACGATTTGCATTTAAAATAAAAAAGAACAGTTGCATTGTCTTATTTCAAGTCCATATTATCTAATCATCTTATTTTAAAAGTAAAAATACCCCCTCCATTGGCCATTCATCTATTTATCTATTCAAATTTAGGCTAAATACTACGGAAGAGGATTAAGGCCAGTGGATTTTTACATTTTATTTCAGTTCAGTATGGGAAAAAAGTCAGAATTCTGACAGTAAAAAAGTCCGAATTCTGAGATTAAAGTCAGACTTTTGAGAAAAAAGTAAGAATTCTGACTTTTTTCTCAAAATTCTGACTTTTTTTCTCAGAATTCTGACTTTTTTCTCAGAATTCTGAGAAAAAAAGTCAGAATTTTGAGAAAAAAGTCAGAATTCTTACTTTTTTCCCGTGTTAAACTGAAATAAAAAAAAAATTTTCAGTGGCCCTAATCCTCTTCGGTAAAATACACTTAAATTGAGAAGTTCTTACTTATTTCTAGATCGTTCTTGCAGTGCAGTAATGTAAACACTGCAAAAACGATCTAGAAATAAGTAAAAAATTCTTAAATTAAGTGTATTCACCCTTAATTTGAGTAGGTAAATGAAATAGTTTGCCAATGGAATGAGTAATTTTACTCTTAAAATAAGATAATTAGATAATATGCACTTGAATTAAGACAATGCAATTGTGTTTTCTTATTTTAAGTGTAAATTTTCTTGTTCCATTGGCAAAATGTCTCTTTTACCTCCTCAATTCAAGTACAAATACACTTACTTTAAGAAAAAATTACTTATCTAGATTTAGATTTTTTGCAGTGAAGATAGCAGCCTTTATGCCCAACCTTCACTGCAAAAACGATCTAGAAATAAGTACAAATGTCTTAAATTAAGTGTATTTATCCCTAAACTGAGTAAGAAAATGTGATGATCTTCAAATGGAATGAGATTTTTTATTGTTAGAATAAGATAATTAGATAATATGCACTTGAAATAAGACAATACAATATTTTTTTCTAATTTTAAATGCATATTCTCTTGTTCCATTGGCAGTGTCTCACCTCCCCAATTCAATAAAACATCCACTTATTTTAAGAAAAGAAATACTTATTTAGATTTACATTTTTTCAGTGCATATAGTTTATCTGTAAAAAAAAATACAAATTAGAGTTTTATTTGCCCTTTAATGTAGTTTTAGGCCATATTTACTAAAGGAGCAGGCATATTTCTTAGCTTTATGCATCAAATTATAGGCTCAGTTAACATTGTTATGGTAACAGGCTGCAACCTTAAACACATAAACATACCCCCCCCAACCACAGAGCCTGTAGGGTCTTAGTTTCAACACCCCCCTGCGTATTAGTCACCCCTAATACCACTACCACAAAATGCTACTGCTGCAACACTTCCACCATGATCTGATCGACTGCTGAGTCAAATAAAGAGCGCCGCGGGGCAAGTCATTCTGAAACCACAGCAGACTCTGATTGCTGTGGTTACCAATATGACCACTAAGAACAGCATCTTGGGAACTGATCCCCGCCCCCCTCTGTGCAGCTAAAGGTGACAACGTGACCACACGCACCCACTCTACATGCATACATCTTTATTCCTTCAGAATCCACGTCCAGAAATAACGCTGGTGTTTTTATTGGAGCCCTGCTCTGCAGTTTGGCACCGCCGCTCGTCGACGCAGACAAACCTCAGTCAGAAAGCTTTAAAAGCTTCCTGCTTTA